ATCTTTTTGGTTATATTTTTTGGTTCTCTTTAATTTTTTCGGAGGGGGGAATTCTTCCGGTGCTGTTCCAGGAAGGCACTGTCTATTTTACTCTTCTATATTATTCTTATTATTATTATTATTAGGGGGGGAAAAATAAAAAAAAAAAATAAAAAAAGGCATTTTAACTTTGTACTTGAAATAAAATACACAAAAAATCTTCAAAAAAATAAAAAAAAAGAGCAAGCGAAAGATTTTCTGTGTTTTAGCCTAGACATTGAACTAGTTGGTGCTTTAACTCTTTGTGACAATGATGTATACTGAACTGAAAATGAAACTATGTAGAGCATTTGATAACTTTTACTGTTACATATGACAAATGTATCATGTTTTATCCATGTTAGAAGCCGGTCTCTGTTGTCGTTTTTGTTTTTCGATAACCCCCCCACATTCCGTGCGCGCGAAGGTAACATACGTGTGTGTGTCTGCTTTTCCTTTTTTCGATCATATTATGTCCTCTCTCTCTCTCTCTCATTGCCCCGTTTCAGCCTGCCCGTGTTATGACTGTGACTTCTATACGTGCGTCATGCTTACTCCAATTGCTTGACCAGGTGAATGACGCCGAAGAAAAAAAACACAAAAAAATAATAATAATGATGATAAATTAGTCAAAGCGTGGTAGTCTGGCTGGAGATAAAAAGCTGTTTCTTGTGCGTGTTACTGAACCGATCGTATTTCCACGTGTGAAGTTAGAATGTTTTAAGTGTCGAAGGCCCGAGTCTGAATCTCTCCGGCCCGCTTCGAGCATTTGCCGGGTAAGCCTGCGGGGGGTGGGGGGGGGAGGCGAGTGACGCAGGTTGGCGACTGATCCCACGAGCGTGGCGTTTTCGTAGAGTCGCCTGCGGGGGAACATGACATGCGGTTGGTGGCTTTGAACGTCGTCGATGTATCTCAGCCAACATATAAAATGATCACAATTGTTGTCGGCCAACGTTCTGTGCGATGGGAAAGTGTTTTCTGAGATTGAGGATCACGTCCTTTGCTGTGTGCGGGGGATCTGGTCCTCCAAGAGTAGGGGGGACGAGGACTCTTAGAGACCTCCAATGGGCGGAGCTATGACATGGAGCAATGCTGAATATCTCATTTTACATATGCAGGTCCCCCGTGTCACTGTCGGCCGGTTTTCCTTCTATATGATTGGCTGCAAAAGGGGCCACATGTCCGTCACGTTCAACCAAACATAGACTTCCACAGTTCCCGTGTAGAGGAAGACACATACAGTTCCCATGTAGAGGAAGGCCCACGGTTCCCATGTAGAGGAAGGCACACACAGTTTCCATGTAGAGGAAGGCACACACAGTTCCCGTGTAGAGGAAGGCACACAAGTCCCGTGTAGAGGAAGGCACACAAGTCCCGTGTAGAGGAAGGCACACAAGTCCCGTGTAGAGGAAGGCACACAAGTCCCGTGTAGAGGAAGGCACACAAGTCCCGTGTAGAGGAAGGCACACAAGTCCCGTGTAGAGGAAGGCACACAAGTCCCGTGTAGAGGAAGGCACACAAGTCCCGTGTAGAGGAAGGCACACAAGTCCCGTGTAGAGGAAGGCACACAAGTCCCGTGTAGAGGAAGGCACACAAGTCCCGTGTAGAGGAAGGCACACAAGTCCCGTGTAGAGGAAGGCACACAAGTCCCGTGTAGAGGAAGGCACACAAGTCCCGTGTAGAGGAAGGCACACAAGTCCCGTGTAGAGGAAGGCACACAAGTCCCGTGTAGAGGAAGGCACACAAGTCCCGTGTAGAGGAAGGCACACAAGTCCCGTGTAGAGGAAGGCACACAAGTCCCGTGTAGAGGAAGGCACACAAGTCCCGTGTAGAGGAAGGCACACAAGTCCCGTGTAGAGGAAGGCACACAAGTCCCGTGTAGAGGAAGGCACACAAGTCCCGTGTAGAGGAAGGCACACAAGTCCCGTGTAGAGGAAGGCACACAAGTCCCGTGTAGAGGAAGGCACACAAGTCCCGTGTAGAGGAAGGCACACAAGTCCCGTGTAGAGGAAGGCACACAAGTCCCGTGTAGAGGAAGGCACACAAGTCCCGTGTAGAGGAAGGCACACAAGTCCCGTGTAGAGGAAGGCACACAAGTCCCGTGTAGAGGAAGGCACACAAGTCCCGTGTAGAGGAAGGCACACAAGTCCCGTGTAGAGGAAGGCACACAAGTCCCGTGTAGAGGAAGGCACACAAGTCCCGTGTAGAGGAAGGCACACAAGTCCCGTGTAGAGGAAGGCACACAAGTCCCGTGTAGAGGAAGGCACACAAGTCCCGTGTAGAGGAAGGCACACAAGTCCCGTGTAGAGGAAGGCACACAAGTCCCGTGTAGAGGAAGGCACACAAGTCCCGTGTAGAGGAAGGCACACAAGTCCCGTGTAGAGGAAGGCACACAAGTCCCGTGTAGAGGAAGGCACACAAGTCCCGTGTAGAGGAAGGCACACAAGTCCCGTGTAGAGGAAGGCACACAAGTCCCGTGTAGAGGAAGGCACACAAGTCCCGTGTAGAGGAAGGCACACAAGTCCCGTGTAGAGGAAGGCACACAAGTCCCGTGTAGAGGAAGGCACACAAGTCCCGTGTAGAGGAAGGCACACAAGTCCCGTGTAGAGGAAGGCACACAAGTCCCGTGTAGAGGAAGGCACACAAGTCCCGTGTAGAGGAAGGCACACAAGTCCCGTGTAGAGGAAGGCACACAAGTCCCGTGTAGAGGAAGGCACACAAGTCCCGTGTAGAGGAAGGCACACAAGTCCCGTGTAGAGGAAGGCACACAAGTCCCGTGTAGAGGAAGGCACACAAGTCCCGTGTAGAGGAAGGCACACAAGTCCCGTGTAGAGGAAGGCACACAAGTCCCGTGTAGAGGAAGGCACACAAGTCCCGTGTAGAGGAAGGCACACAAGTCCCGTGTAGAGGAAGGCACACAAGTCCCGTGTAGAGGAAGGCACACAAGTCCCGTGTAGAGGAAGGCACACAAGTCCCGTGTAGAGGAAGGCACACAAGTCCCGTGTAGAGGAAGGCACACAAGTCCCGTGTAGAGGAAGGCACACAAGTCCCGTGTAGAGGAAGGCACACAAGTCCCGTGTAGAGGAAGGCACACAAGTCCCGTGTAGAGGAAGGCACACAAGTCCCGTGTAGAGGAAGGCACACAAGTCCCGTGTAGAGGAAGGCACACAAGTCCCGTGTAGAGGAAGGCACACAAGTCCCGTGTAGAGGAAGGCACACAAGTCCCGTGTAGAGGAAGGCACACAAGTCCCGTGTAGAGGAAGGCACACAAGTCCCGTGTAGAGGAAGGCACACAAGTCCCGTGTAGAGGAAGGCACACAAGTCCCGTGTAGAGGAAGGCACACAAGTCCCGTGTAGAGGAAGGCACACAAGTCCCGTGTAGAGGAAGGCACACAAGTCCCGTGTAGAGGAAGGCACACAAGTCCCGTGTAGAGGAAGGCACACAAGTCCCGTGTAGAGGAAGGCACACAAGTCCCGTGTAGAGGAAGGCACACAAGTCCCGTGTAGAGGAAGGCACACAAGTCCCGTGTAGAGGAAGGCACACAAGTCCCGTGTAGAGGAAGGCACACAAGTCCCGTGTAGAGGAAGGCACACAAGTCCCGTGTAGAGGAAGGCACACAAGTCCCGTGTAGAGGAAGGCACACAAGTCCCGTGTAGAGGAAGGCACACAAGTCCCGTGTAGAGGAAGGCACACAAGTCCCGTGTAGAGGAAGGCACACAAGTCCCGTGTAGAGGAAGGCACACAAGTCCCGTGTAGAGGAAGGCACACAAGTCCCGTGTAGAGGAAGGCACACAAGTCCCGTGTAGAGGAAGGCACACAAGTCCCGTGTAGAGGAAGGCACACAAGTCCCGTGTAGAGGAAGGCACACAAGTCCCGTGTAGAGGAAGGCACACAAGTCCCGTGTAGAGGAAGGCACACAAGTCCCGTGTAGAGGAAGGCACACAAGTCCCGTGTAGAGGAAGGCACACAAGTCCCGTGTAGAGGAAGGCACACAAGTCCCGTGTAGAGGAAGGCACACAAGTCCCGTGTAGAGGAAGGCACACAAGTCCCGTGTAGAGGAAGGCACACAAGTCCCGTGTAGAGGAAGGCACACAAGTCCCGTGTAGAGGAAGGCACACACAACAGGCCACTGATGCCAGTTCTGTCCCAAGGGAAACCTTCCCTGTGTGAGGCAAGTAATGTTGAATTGTTGGGGGATTTGCCGACACCTCCCGACCATCCCATGGGGGCAATGGCGGCTTCCTTGTACCCTGAAGGCCCCATGTAGTGGAATATATTGTATTCCGCTAACTGGACGGGGTGATGGCTGTAATAATAGGATTCAGTATATGAATTCATTCATAACAGGGTGACAACACTTCCCAGGGTGACAACACTGTTCACCCTCTTATGGAAAATGGAGAGGAGGAGGAGGAAGGTTTGGCTATCCATTCCACCACCTCCTCCATGGAGGACAACACTGTTCATCTTGCAGTGACATCACAGAAGTGTTGTCACCCTGGAGGAACAATGGATCTCCTGGCAGGATGAATAGATGACACAACTTGGAAGGGAACAAAGCCTGCCGTGTTAATGCTTCTCTGTATTTTCACTTGAATTGAAATATCAATAAAGTTTGTTGATACATTTGTAGAAGGACACGGCTGACCACACACAGGAAAGGGAACATTTCTATTAAAAACAAACCAAAACCGGAGTTACCCTTCAAAGCCACCCTTGAGATGTGTCCCCCCTCAGGCGTCCCTCTACCCCAGGAATGTAGATGTCAGTGGCCCACCCTGCATCCGCCCCTCCCCCGTGGTAATGCTTTAGTCCTTCCCATACGGAGACCCGTTCCGTCATAGAGCAGCGTTACTTTTATTTTGTTCCAGATCTGCTATTTATTGACATTGTACATTTCACCACGTGGTTGGTGGACGAAGGCGCGCAGGGGGAGGGGAGACTCTCGGAGGGGACGTGGAGCCTTCTTTTGCTGGCGTTCTGTTGTTTCTCTGTGTACTTGATGCTCGTGGTATAGCTGTATATGACATGTGGGGGCTCTCTGCCTGCAGCAGATGGTCGCTCTGTATCTTCACCTCATTATTATTTTTTGGTGCCCAGAAAAATAAAGAAAAATAAAACAGTTGAATATGACGTGTCCTCCTGTGGTCTTTGTGAGCTCTTAGGGACCGGTGACGTGTCCTACTGTGGTCTTTGGGAGCTCTTAGGGACCGGTGATGTGTCCTCCTCTGGTCTTTGTGAGCTCTTAGGGACCGGTGATGTGTCCTCCTCTGGTCTTTGTGAGCTCCTAGGGACCGGTGACGTGTCCTCCTGTGGTCTTTGTGAGCTCCTAGGGACCGGTGACGTGTCCTCCTGTGGTCTTTGTGAGCTCCTAGGGACCGGTGACGTGTCCTCCTGTGGTCTTTGTGAGCTCCTAGGGACCGGTGACGTGTCCTCCTGTGGTCTTTGCGAGCTCCTAGGGACCGGTGACATGTCCTCCTGTGGTCTTTGTGAGCTCCTAGGGACCGGTGACGTGTCCTCCTGTGGTCTTTGCGAGCTCCTAGGGACCGGTGACGTGTCCTCCTGTGGTCTTTGCGAGCTCCTAGGGACCAGTGATGTGTCTTCCTCTGGTCTTTGTGAGCTCCTAGGGACCGGTGACGTGTCCTCCTGTGGTCTTTCTGAGCTCCTAGGGACCGGTGACATGTCCTCCTATGGTCTTTGTGAGCTCCTAAGGACTGGTGACGTGTCCTCCTGTGGTCTTTGTGAGCTCCTAGGGACCGGTGACATGTCCTCCTGTGGTCTTTGTGAGCTCCTAGGGACCGGTGACGTGTCCTCCTGTGGTCTTTGTGAGCTCCTAGGGACCGGTGACGTGTCCTCCTCTGGTCTTTGTGAGCTCTTAGGGACCGGTGACGTGTCCTCCTCTGGTATTTGTGAGCTCCTAGGGACCGGTGACGTGTCCTCCTCTGGTCTTTGTGAGCTCTTAGGGACCGGTGACGTGTCCTCCTCTGGTATTTGTGAGCTCCTAGGGACCGGTGACGTGTACTCCTGTGGTCTTTGTGAGCTCTTAGGGACCGGTGGCTGCTGCGGCAACGTCGTCCTCGTCCCATCGCCGCGGAATCGGATATTGAAGTCTCGCCCTGTGCACCGCGAGGAACCATCTAGCGGTCCACTTCATGAACTCTGCGAAGGCTTTACATCGGCCTTCCTCGACCTCAACGTGGAGGAACCACGGAAATAAACCCTCAGGTCTCAGGTAACGCCTAATAAGTATCTACAGGACGTGGTACATGAACAGTAAACTGACATATAATAAGAGGTCATGTGATGTACAGAAGTGTATGTGACACCAAAACCTGCTACAAAAACAATTCTCACCAATGATAACATTGCCAGAAATGCAAACAGGAAATTGTGCTCCGTGGGAAGAATGCTCCTTACATTGGGGGTCAGTGGGGG